TCTGAAGGGGTACCCCTTGGAAAAATCTCGGAAAAATCGAAAATTTTTTTTTGTTCTTTATTATTAGCAATGTTCTTCCGACGTCTGATTTCTTTTTAAAAAATGCGTTTCTAAAGTGCATAAACCTTTGGGATTGACTGTATAGCCAATACATCCTTAAATGATAAAAATTTACGAGGTAGATGCGTTGTGAGAAACTGGGGTGGTTCGTCAGTGTAAAGATTACACGTGTGTCTAAAATCATGTATAAAACAATTGAGTCTAGTGTAACGTTAACACATTTACTTTGATAATACTTGAAACTCTTTTCATAATAAGTATTAAGTAACCAATACACTCACTTGTGTCTCTTGCCGATTATTTCATACAATACCGCACTGATTCGCAGAGAGATTCGAGGTATAGCGATATCGCATTTTCAAAGGAACAGAAATGTTTCGTAATGAACATCAAGTCGTATGCTTATACTTTACTGTAATAAACGCGTCGGTTCGCTTAGGATCTATGATGTTACGATTTTTATCAAACCGATCGTTGTGAACAAACGAATTTCTCGCTTACAAACTAGCGTATACATAATATGAAACTGCTCGTTAGTTTTATAAAAAATGCAACGCACGGTGTCACTCATATAAAAATCTGAATTATTTGTACGCCCACTCCTAACGTCTAAAAACGAAATTAATTGATTACAAATAAGTCGTCCGATTTGCGCATACAGCAGTGTCTTGATCGTTTGAAACTCTCTACGTGTGATCATGATTAATATCGTGAAACGAAGTCTTTTCTTGATTAAATTATTATTAAACATGCGCGTATATGTACAACGTTGAATGCTCTCGGTGTTCTATACCGTCGCAGTTTCATATTGTTAAACGGGAAATCGGGTCACCGGTATTTGTTTCAACTGATCGTAAGTAAACATCTGCTGTAATTAATCTTCGTTTAGGAACGAGAGTAAATCAACTTAATTGTCTGAATGAAAATAACATAACTTACTCCGCAAACTACGCAACAGAATTGTACATATAAAAATACATTTAATACATACGCATGTACGCAAAAGAAAATACATAATCCTAGTGAAAAATGTTTAAATAATTCACAGTAATGTGAAACGAAAATTACTCGATAATCGTTACAAAATACAACACTAGTTTTGTCATTGCATCCAGGTAAATATCTTCAGTACATTTTCGCCACTAAAGAAGCAACACTCGACCTTTTCTAATCTTTACTCCCCGGGAAATGAATCCCGTTTTCCAGGACTCCTCGTTTCAGAATCGAACATCAATAAAAGTTTGATAAGTAAAGAAATATCATAGATGGAAGCCAAGTACTATAAAATACGTTCTATATCAAATAAACGGTTGAAATGATTATATATAAGTAATAACAATTTTAAACGTTATTACCATAGGTAATCATTTTTAAATCCGTTCGAGTTATTCGATTGAATGGTGAATCATTTCAATAAATAAAAAGATACTAACAGGAGTTGGTAGTAAGGTAGGTATATTATACTAAATGCAAAAAGTTACAATACATTTGATGTTTCTTTTTTTTTATCATTTTTCCTTTAACATTATTTCTTTTTTTCTGTGTAGTAACGTCGACCATGGTACACACAAACTGGCCCGGTAGACCGAAATAAAAATGTATACTACAAAAATTCACAACTTATTATTCGCCATCTTCTAATTCTTATATTGTTATAATTATTTGTGTTTCTTTTCTCATATTCCTTTCTTCGTTCATTATATTTATCTTCATTATTATTATTATTTTTATTATTATTATTATTATTATTATTATTAATAATCACTTAAAAACGAAAACATTCACACTAAAAATTTTCGGAGCTTTCGTTCAGATATAAAGAGGCAGTCTCGCGTATACGTGTGGCTTCTGAACACTTTGTTTTCAATGCAGTTTGATACATTAACATTATGTATGTGATGCACATCGATGTACGCCTAGCGATTCCAACGAACTAATCTAAAAACTGTATATACATTCGGAAAATTGAAATAAAAGCAAAGGTCCAAGTGCTTGATTGCACTCTACCCCCCGACCGTAGAGAAACAGTTCGTTAAAATACTCGGGCATAAAAATTTGTTATTCCCTTTTAAACAAATGAACGTTAAGTAACTGAATCGTCATCGACGTCGTTGATTGATTATATATAAAATTTGCTTTCACGCTATCATTTGTACATGTGACTGCAGGATAATCGACGTATATATGGTGTTAGCTTAAAACTGGGTTTCGAAAACCAAAAGGAAACTTATTATTATACGGTGACCGTTCTCGATAGAAAAAGCTTATCCTCAGATGACTGGACAGTTGTTACTAACGAGCTTTCTTTACAAATAGTTTGATTATTTAACGAACGAACAATTCGGCCAACTAATCACGCGAAACTACCTCTTTATCTATGACTGAGATAAAGCAGTATCATCGCGTTATAAATACAAACCAATGTTTTAAAAACATTGAAATTCGTTAGGGAAAAGAAAAACGAATTTCACCGAGCAGAACTCTGCCTAATTGATTATATGTACGTATGTATATATCTTAAAGGAAAATGTACGCTGGAGGGGAAATAATTAAACGGAGGCTACGCGCCGACCAGCGATGACTCTGCCACATCCCGGACATAGCAATTGTAACACATTCGATTACAAACTATTGCGGATGTTTAATGTAGACTACGTAACAATTTAATCGATCAATAAGAAACGTAAAATAATTACTTTTCATATGTTCTCAGCCTTAGTGTCGTAGCATTTCGCGGTTTAGTCGCCGTGCACTTTGCAATTTCAATTTTCTTTCTCCCCGGATACGAAAAGGTGAGCTAATTTATCACCGTCCAACGTCACCGTTCGTCGTCACCTCCTCTGTTCTTCGGCGTTTATGAAAAAACACAGTTCAAAATTGCATTTCGTTTCCCTGTATTCTTTTGTTTCTTTTTTTTTTTCATTTGTGCACTTGGATCACGAGACGAGGTGTGCACGCGTACGAGATGGCACATAAATTATACCGTGTACGCTATATCACTGTACAGAGACGATGGTAATCGCGTTATTATTTTTATTTTTTGCACTCCCGATTCTCCTATATTGTTCCAACGTTCACTTGACAGATTTCCGTTCGAATTATTGTTCGATAACACTTAATGTAATGACAATTTAGAGATAATAATTGTACTCCGGTAAGAGAAAAACTAAAGTCTGTGTCGAATAGGCCAGAAAAATATATAGCTTTGTCTCTAATAATCGCAGGACTCATCTTGCTCGACTTTCACTAGAAATATGAAAATATTTCCGGCTGTTTGCTTCCTGATCAACAGTTTCTCTCTCTCTCGCTCGCTCGTTCGCTCGATCAGACGCGCAGGCACTCTTTTCTTCGCTTTCTCTCCCATTCTTTCTTTCTTCTATCTCGTCTGGCCTAGCACCTTTATACGGACACGTGTCGAAAATACAGATAGGAAAATACTATCTACACATTAGGGTACTTATGAAGATACAGGAATCAAAATATCTCTCAATTCCATTCGGTGATATACAGTAAGTGCAGAGTTTACGTGCTGAATTTACTTCCCCCACGCAAACGATAAATCTAATTCCACTAAATCGCTGTTTATTTACTTCGCGAGAATAATACTATGTTCGTTCGTGTAATAAAGTAGATCGGGACATATTTGAAAGTGTAGTCTTAGCCGGCGTGCGAGAGAACGGTTAACAAGACCTCTCAGAAATGAACGTCTGTTTCTTTGTCGATCTAATTATTCATATTGAAGTATAATGTCGAGGGAAAAAGAGTGAAAGAAGTTTGTAACGTGTACCTTCGTATGAGAGCATCGATCGGTTTCGATCGATCCTGAAGAATTCCTATTCACTTATAATAATTACAAGAATAACGCTAGATTACGTTGGTAAGTGGGAAAATGTTTTTTCTTTTCGTCATTGTACATTGCTAATACATCTCGACAATTTTCTTTCGTAATTACGATAAAGTCAAGCTAAAATCTTGTGTTGCTATAACGGTACTAGGTCTTTTGTCTTAGCAGCGCACTGCGAGTTCTGCGATCACCAGAGGCTATTAAATCGTTATTATTCTGTTAATCGTGTGAAATTCTGACTGTTTAACCAATTTCTAGATGATATGACCGTTCACATAAATTTGAGAGAAGCGAAAATAAGAAATAGGCGAATATCGACGGAGGTAGGGAAAAGCAAAAGCCTAGTGCGTAAAGATGCATGGAGGAATCGGAAAAGGAAATGGAACAAAGATCGGTGGATTGGAACAAAGTAGAGCATAAGCAGTATGTGATTGAATTAGGAAACGGCGAGACCAGCTGCAGTCTAAGGATACTGTCCTACTATCAATCGATACCGGTCGATTGATAGTCGGCCCATATTGCATGAGAAAAATCATCTGTGTCTTTGTATGCGACCACAGAACAGCCGCAGTTCTCTACTCGTTAACCAACACCGACCAACTACCCACCTATGAACATTATTGCCGACAGTCTACAGTTAGGTGGAACGTTTCATCGGCAGTCAATTAATTAACTCGAGAGGATATGAAATGTACGACGATATTCCATAATTATGACGGTTCGTATCCTCTCGTTTTAATTTTCGTTTAGTTTGGCTCGCGACTTATTTATTACGACAGCGGAATTCGCACCGCTTGTGTCTCCTTAATGTGATTGGCAAACGGAGGAAATGAAGAGAGCGACGTGTGATTTTCACGGTTTTTGTTCAACAGAAAAAAAAGGAGGTATGCTATCGAATCCAGGCTCGATATTTTTGTATGAATATGAACGGGTTCTATACGTGTGAATATATACGAGGTGTTTCTAATACTGTCCCTCGTATTCGTGTGCTGCACACGTGTTCCGATGGTTTTTCCTTGTCTCTATCTCAGTTCTCTTTCACTTTGTATCACAAAAATTGGCAACAAATTCGTTCCTAGGATGGTCTTTTAAGAAACGCGATCTACTAAGAGGGAGACAAAGCTGGAACCATATATTTCTAACGGGGAAATCACACGTCGCTCTGTTATACGTATGTGATGCGAGTGGATGCAGTTTTGTAAATGAAGTCTGTAGATTGCCGGATGTCGATGTATGAAGGACGAACTCGTAATACTTCATCAAATGTCCAACCGAGTTGGACGTTCGATGAATTATTTTACTAAACAATTATATTTATTATTCACGAACACGACGAACTTAGTTTAAATGCGAAAAACCCGATTTTACAATCGAGTTCGTGTTCCATACGGTTTGAGCTGGATCTAGAATTTCTGCTTGGCGAACGATGCAAGCGATGTTTTATTAAGCGTAAAAGGATAGCGCCTTTGATCGTGTCGTGTGGCATTGTGATATAGTTCTGGATTTTGAGTTTAGAAATGAGGATGGTAATTATATACCGGTGACTTGTTCAAGAAGAAAGAAACTTGGGAGTGCCTGCAACGTTGCTTCGACTATTAGCGGCGATTTTGGTAACTTGTGTTACTCGGGTTACCGGACTGCCGCATTCCGCCGCCAACCCTTCCGCCATCGCCGCCTCGCGAGAAACCGCCGCGTCCGCCTCTCGCGCCATGCTGACCGCCCCTCATGAGGCCTCCAGGTCCACCTATGCAAAATAAACGAATGTTGTATAGAACTTCCAAGAAAGACCTGAATAATTCTATTATGTAATCGATTTTAACGAAATATTTAGGAAATTGTTGTATGTAAGATTGAGAGTATTAAGACAGACATGTAAAAAGATTCCGGTTGTATGAGTGATTTGACAAAGAAAGATAAAATATATTATTTTGTTTTCCGCAATATTTATCCGTCGACTAATCTATACTTATTAAATACAAATACGAAGATATTACGCACCAGGACCCCGTTGTTGCTGCTGCTGCTGTTGTCCACCCATTGCTCTCATGTTACCGTCGTTAGAATTTAACCGGCCACCACTGCCTTCCATCGTCCTAGGCCTGACCTTCTTCTCTTCCACATTAAGTTTTTGTCCGTTCTCAGCAGGGTAATAAATTGGCTGAAGTCAACAATCAAAATTATAAATCACACTTTCCTTCTTACGAAGATTCCCAAAAATTCATACTAACCAAGTTCTGTAAAACTTTGCTGACAACTTGTTGATCTTCAAAAGTGATGAACCCGTAATTAGGCACTTTTCCTGTATTGTTCCCTTGCGGTCCTTTGCACCTATCGTTCGATTTACTATGTATGCGTAACTCTACCACCCTACCATAAGACTCGAACACTTGACGCAAATCATCTTCGGACGCATTGTGCGGCAAGTTTCCAAGGAACAATTGATGAGCATCACTGTATTGACTTTGTCTCGCACCACGACGATCGCCATCTAAACAGTTTATTGCTTGCTGTTTAATACATGTCTAATATTGCAATCTTAATGAAAGAACTTGCTTTTAAACAACCACTCTTACCTCGTTGTACTGCTCCACCTCTGGGAGGTCGCTGTTGCTGATGTTGCTGTTGGGGTTGTTGATTGCCAACTCTATGAGTCGGCTGTTGAGGTGTAGTGACGTTAGTCGACGTGGACAGTGCCGGGCCAGTGCTAGTCGGATGTAAGGGTGATCTGTCGTCTAAACGCAAGTTCGTCATCGGCGGCTGAAAATATAGCGTAAAGTGAGTATTTAATAGAAATTAACGAAACTATTGGTTATTAACATTATTTCTACGAAGCGGTGTCAAAAGACACTTGTCAAGTTTTAACTTATGAAGTCCTCCACTTTTTAGTTGAAATAGGTATACACAAAATCGTAGTAGAAATAGTGTTAAAGAGAAGTATTAAAATGTATATATACCGGTGACATGGATAATTTGGGAGCCTGAGGACTAGTAGCGCCTGTGTTGCTTGGAAACGATTTCACAAGATTCGCGTACGTTTTCGGCTCGCTACTGGTCACAGTCCTATTCGTCACTTGGTGTTCCGGCTCGGACTCTTGCACAGAAGTAGAAAATGTCTCAGCCTCGGGCTGATCACGAGTTTCATTCGACTGAGCCTGTGGTTCGGTTTCTGTCTGCTGCTGCTGCTCGACCGAGGTATCCAGTTCTGCCTCTTGTACGAATTGTACTTGCGACGCTGATTCGTTTATGTATGGATGCTGCTGTGCTGGAGGAGGAGGTAATGGCTGCTGTTGCTGCTGCTGCTGCTGCTGCGGCGGTTGCTGACTGATCAGCGGCGTTTCTTCATGAACCGATCCGTTTAGAACTTGTTGCATCACAGGGTGCACCTACAGTAAGATAGGGGAATTAAGATAATTTAAGATAGTGTAAAATAGATGTCAGATAAGATAAAATTGTAACCGAGAAGAGAATCAATTAATAAATACATATACTACAAACTTTTACTTCCAACTGTTTCCAACTATAGTACTAAACTCACGTGTGATTGTTGCAGCTGAGGAGCATAGTACATTTGTTGCTGTTGCTGAAGCACGGGTTGTTGAGCAGGAATGAGAGGTGGTTGAGCCTGAGGTTCGGTAGCTGCAGCCGGTGTCGAAAGTTGCTGTCCTCGATTTTGATGCTCGTCTTCCTCTGGCTCAGAACGAACACTCTCTTCGCCTTCTCTTTCTCCAGACTCACTTACGACTCCTTCTACTCCACCTACGTCCGTTTCTTCCTCGTCGGGGAAGATTAAGTCTTGGTAACGGAATATGTCGTTATGTACATAATACGTTTTTGGTGCTTGTATTGCCAGCACGAACGTTTGCGTAAAACGACGCATCGGTTGTCCAGCATTAGATAATTCACCAGACACCTGTAAACATATCGTTAATGAATTTATTTTCGTCATAACAGGCGAATAGTGTCCTCACTTTTATCACAATTTTTACTCACTGGCTTAAGATTGCATATGAAAATTATAGAAGAAAGGCAGTGAGTAGAAATTGGGACGTTTATTATATTTATAAATATTTATTTTTCACTTACTTGCACAACGACACCATTCTCAAGAGTAAGCTGCGAATCGACCTGACTTATCTTCGCATGACAATCTCGAAAATTTAATTGTTGAATTTTTTGATGTATTTGTTTTTGACCAATTGCAGGAGTCGATTCTCTGTTAGAGTCCAGACCCCCGTGCACGAAGGACGAATGCTGATTGTAAAATCTATAATTTTGCGCATCGAACGTTAGTATAAGTGAAACAACGTAATAGAAAAATTCGTTTACCTATGAAGATGCGCAGGAGCTTGGTTGAGTAAAGTGTAATATTGCCGGACAAATTCACGACCGACATTCTGCGGAGAAGGGGATGCCTCCATGACCATTTTTTTATTCCTAACGTCTAAAATAGTATTTTGCTCAAATAGCAGTAAATTCTTCACTTGGCAATTGTTAAAAGTAGATGTTCAGGTATCTGAAACAGAAAAATATTTATCAAGTTCACAGCTATATCAGATTACTCACAAATCATATCTTTGTTCTATGTATTTAACAAAGAATACATCAACTAATAAGAATCGTATATCTTGTGAAAAATTTACATTTCTAAGCTAATAAGATTTACTTATTCTCATCGCATCAATACAAAATATATGTATTATACACAAAGGCTGTAACTAATGTCTACACATACATATTATACAAAGAATACAAACAATAAAAAATAAATTAAAAAAACAGTTTCGGGACAAAGACAATTTAAAATTGAAGACGTATTTGGAACTAAAATAATTCGATGCTACATTTTCTTCGTTTCATAAATCAATTCCTGATAGTAGAGAATAAAATTTATGCGTACACGATGTGAAAAAACTGTAAAATTCCTACATTAGACCGTAATGAGACGCGTGTACAATCACGTCTTGGGCGAACATGTGCTCGCGGTTGTATAATATTTACGTAAATTTTCTTCGTAAGGCAGTGGTTGAAAAACAGGAAACTATAGCTCGTCTATGAA